GGCGGCGAGGCTATCGTGGGAGAGTCCTTGGGTGCGGCGCACGGAAGCCACGGAAGTCAAGGAGGCGCGGCCGCTTTTGAGCAGCTTGCCCCTCCCTCTGACAGGCAGCGACCGGTGCCAATGACTCTCGATGAGAGCGTGGGACAAGGGGCCGAGCGAGAGGCTCGCGAGGGTGCCCATGAGGTCATGGAGCGGCGTGCTGAGGATGTTTCGCAAGTGGCCCGCTCATTGGCCTATATGACCAGCCTGGTTACAACCTTGGTGGGGCGCATGGATCGAGTTGAGCAAGCTCAGACCAGCAGTTCTGGAAGGAGGACGGCTACCACTTCGGCAAGAATGGAGACGCCTATGGGAGGCACGCCTGAAGGGGGTTCTCTGGGATGGGTCGATCTGCGGCGCTTGGATGCTCAGCTTGGAAGGATGAGTGTGGAGGAAAGTACCCAGCCTCCCCTCTTTGAGAGGCCTTTGGCAGCTATGGACACTATCATGGCTGGAACTTTCAGCTCCGATGATAGCGAGACGGCAAGGGCGCGGATGGAGCAGGCTCGTGGTGTTCCGGGATCTTTGCTGGGACCTTTAGCTGCTCCATTAGGTCCAGTGGTGTTGCCTGGAGATCCTGGAGGCGTGAGAATGGAGAATGAGCAAAGGGCTTGGCAAGGACGAGCTGCAGAGGCCTTGGCAGTGGAGGGGTTGCACCTTTCTCACTTGCAGCCTCCTGGACTTGTGCAGTCTAGTACGATGCAGGGATTCTCTCAAGCCCCAATGCAGTTGTCGAATGTGCCTCAGGGATCCAGTCAGGCTCCAATGCAGTTGTCAAACGCGCCTCAGGGATCCGTGCAAGCTCCAATGCAGTTGTCAGACGCGCCTCAGGGATCCGTGCAAGCTTCAATGCAGTTGTCAGACGCGCCTCGGGGATCCAGTCAGGCTCCAATGCAGTTGTCAGACGCGCCTCAGGGATCCACTCAAGCTCCAAGGCAGTTGTCTAGCGCGCCTCAGGGATCTGTTCAAGCTCCGATGCAGTTATCAGACGCACCTCAGGGATCCACTCAAGCTCAGATGCGGTTGTCAGACGCGCCTCAGGGATCCACTCAAGCTCAGATGCGGTTGTCAGACGCGCCTCAGGGATCCACTCAGGCTCCGACGCAGTTGTCTAGTGCACCTCAGGGATCTGTGATGGCTCAGATGTCGGTCTCAGGTCAAGGTCTTGGGGATGGCGTGCTACCACGGCAAGCAGATGCAGAGAGGCTCCAGGAGGCCAGTCAGACGTCGTTTGTGAGTGCAGTTTCAGAGTGGGACCAAGGACAAAACCCGAGTGTGAGCGCGGGAGTGACAAGGTTTGGTGGCTTGACGATTGGGGCTCCCCCTACGGGTCTTGTGTTTGTGCAGGGAACGTGGAGGCCGTATATGATGGTGCAAGGGCAGATGGTGATTCAGACGCAAGAGGCTGCTGGAGCGTCGGCGGTTGGTCTCTCTTTGGCCGCCCCGACGTTTACCCCAGAGAGTGCAGCCAAGGATGTTGGAGGTACAGTTCCTCCACCGCCGCCGCCCCCACCACCGAGGGCAGTGTCGCCTACTACGCCTTCACGAAGGCCGGCCACCGGGTGTAATGCAACGCCAGGTGGTACTCCGATACCCCCACCACCACCAACGACTCCGATGACGGGAACAGCCACTGGGAGCCCCGGGTCTTCTCCGAATGAGGTGGAGGAGCCGAGTAAGCTGGTCACCAAATTGCCTCCTCTGGCGGCGTCGAAGGGCCAGGATGCGGCAGTGGTAGCAGGAGACTGGTTGGCTCAGCTTGAACCGAGTATGTCCAGTTTGAGCAGCTCGGCCTCTCTATGGTGGCAGAGTGTGATGTCCAAGGTGCGAGTACTGTACACCAAGTGGCTGGAGTCAACCCCAGTGCAGAGGCTTCAGATTCGACAGGAAGTCTTAGTGCAGAGGCCTCCCTTGGATCGCTACCAGCGAGTGGAGCAGAGGGCGGCTATGTTGCTCTTGGACAGTCTTCCGGATGACCTCAAGAACGAGGTCATTAGCGTGAGGGCGGTGACGGTGGAGGCAATGGTGTTTTTGGTGCACTGTTCTTTTCAGCCAGGGGGTCGGCTGAGAAGGCCTACCTTCTCCAGTTCCTCACGGCGCCGGACACCAGCAACTCTGTGGATGCAGCCCTCACCATGGCGAGGAAGTGGATTCGACTTTTACGTCGGGGGAAAGAGCTGCAGGTGGTGCTTCCAGATCCGAGTCTTTTGTGCAGAGGCTTGGACAAACTTCACGGGGCGGTTTTCACCAATAACAAGCACCCCAGTGCGGCTTTCCGCATAGCAAGCTTCAAGCTGGAGCGGCAGCTGGATTACAAGGCCATGGCAAAGGACGTAGAGGACTATGCGCAGCTGATTCTCGGCGAGTTGGAGGCTGCCTTGCTTGCGCAGCCAGTGATGCCGCCCCCGAAGATCAACAAGATGGAGGAGGCTTCCAACCAGGACACCGGCAAGGGCAAAGCAAAAGGCAAGGGCAAGCGTCCTTGCTGGGGATGGCAAGATGGCTCTGGATGCAAGTATGGTCAGAGCTGTATGTTTTTGCATGAGTCCTTGGGGCCAGGTCGCTGTTGGAACTGTGGCAGCAGCAGCCATCTCAAGCCTCAGTGCCCGTATCTCGGGCAAGGGGGGGTAGCAGCGACGGCTCCTGCTGGATCGGGCTCGTCTTCGGCGAATGCTACAGGGCCTTCTTCGTCTATGGCATCGCCAGAGGGAGGAAAAGGAGCCGGAGAAGACAAGCCTCCCCGGAAGTCTAGGAAAAAAGGTGGTGGAAAAGCCAAAGATGCAGTGAGAAAGGCTGAAGAAGGAGTGTCGGTGGAGACAGCTCAGACAGCCTCGGCGGCGACTTCGGCATCCACTACGGCAGCGACTGCGTCTACTGATGCAGCGCGGGATGAGTTTTTCGAGGAGGCGGCAAAGGCCTTGAAGTCGTTGAGGTTGGCCAAGGCGACTTTGGTTCGAGTTTGCGCGATGGGTCACGGCGGCTCTAAGGCTCTGGTGGATTCTGGCGCTACCACCTCGATGAGGACTGCCAAGGAAAAGGAAATCTGTGGTCTTCCTGTTCGCAAGGTGTTGTTGGCAGAGGGCGAGGCGATGTTTTATCAGCTTCCTGGTGGCACTTTGCTGACGGAGCGGAAGACCTCGCCGATTGTGGCGATGAGCGACCTGATGGAGATCGGCTGCAGGGTCTCGTGGAGCTCAGGAGAGGGATGTCAGATTACACACCCCACCAAAGGTGACCTCCCGACACAGATTATCAATGGGTGTCCGGAGGTGGATGGACAGCTTGGCTTGGACTTGATCCAGGAGGCTGAGGCTGTGAAGCTTCGCCGGCGTGAGGCGGAGATTGCGGTGAACAAGTTGGTGACCGCATGCGAGGTGAAGCCTGGCTTAGGTTGGGACCTTGGGGCTAAGGCGGTGAAGGATTTGCGCAATGGTGTTGGAGTTTCGTGGGCTTGGCTGCGTCGCCTTTTTCCAGGTGCTCCAGCGTGGTTGGTGTCAGCGGTGCCCGTGGTTGCCTCTATGGATGGGGCAAAGGTGCCCTGGAATCGCCGAGAGCGAAAGCGGTGGAGGCAAGCTTCGGCGGTGGGAATTCATCTGTTTTGTGGCCGCGATCGTACTACCTGGAAGTCTACAGCGGAAGCAGCTCATGTGGTCACGGTGGACCAGGCGGAAGACATCATGGCGGACGACACCTACGCGGCTCTCTTGGACCTCGCGCTGAGTGGGAAGGTGAAGACGGTGTTTGGGGGTCCTCCCTGCCGTACCTTTTCTGCCCTTCGTGCACGGGGACCAGATGATGGAGGACCTCGACCTTTGAGGACGCGTGAAGGGGGCGAACGTTGGGGTCGCGGAGATCTTAGCGAGTGGGAAACATGGAGGGTTCGTCAAGATACCATCATGATCTTTCGGATGCTGTTCTTGTGGTTGGTGGCGGCTGCTGTGGCCAAGGAGAGCGGGACCATCGCCCCAGATTTCATCATGGAGCACCCCGAGGACCCCAAGGAGTTTACGAAGCCGTCCGAGTGGGCCCTCCCTGAGTACCAGGACCTGACGTCGTTGTGGGCTTTTCCTGAGATTCAGTTTCTCAAGAGCGAGCTTGGGTGGCACTGGTGGCAGTTTGATCAAGGTCCTCTCGGGCATCCTCGTAGGAAGCCGACCCGAGTTCTCTCGTCGACGCCATGCCCGAGCAGTCTTCGCGACGTACGGGGTCCTTCGGTGGTTTCGGAGGAGGAGCGAGATCATGATGGGAGCGGTTTTCGTTCAGCATCGTGGGCGTCCTGGGCACCACAGCTCAAACACATTATCAAAACTGAGGTTGAGGTGAGCTTGGCTGGGGCTACGTTGGATAGGGTGATGAAGTTGGACGCCGACTTCTTGGAACACCTTCAGAAGGATCATATCCCTTATCGGCGCGACTGCAAGGCTTGTCTCGCGGGTTCCTTTCGGGGGCACATCCATCGGAGAATTGTGGCTCCGGATGCTTGGTGTCTTTCTCTGGACGCGATAGGTCCAATGAAGCAGGGAGATGATGA